TCTCTCTCTCTCTCTCTCTCTCTCTCTCTCTCTCTCTCTCTCTCTCTCTCTCCTACTCCTCTAAGTCTAAGTCTACTCCTGGGTTCTCCTACGGGACTACTATGAGTATGAAGGATGGTTATGAGTTCTGATGACATTGGAGACAGCGACATTGGGACTGTAGGTTGAGGACTACTTGTGGGACCTGATTTCATCTTCCTCTGGAGATGTACTTGACATTGTGAGATCGATATCTGAGACATTGTGGGACACTGTATTCGCGACATTTCGGATTTTCGCCATCTCTGACATTTCAAGATACTATCTTTGGAAACATTGAGTTGACATCATCTTCCCTCTCCTCCTCCCCTCGTCTCTCTCCTCTCTCCCTTCGTCCGTGGATGATCTCAGACCCTGGCCTTTCGTCTATGTCCAAGGCCAGGGCTTTCACACCCCTGATGCGTGATTGAGAGTGTTCGTTTGCAGTCCGAGTCAGGTCAGAGTCAGTCCAGGTATCTCAAGTCTTCCGCTTGCATTTGCATTAACTCTGTATCATCTGGTCGGTTCTAGGAATCTGTGCCATACTTATGACGGTGTTTCACGAGTATGCAACACTGCTGCTGCTGCTGATGATGATGATAAAGATGATGACGATGGTTCCTCCATCATGAGGTTCTGTTCCAGTTGTGGTTGAATGATGATGATGATGATGATGATGATGATGAAGATGACGATGATGATGATGACTCTAAATCTGCTAAGAACATAATAAAAGAGCCCGGATTCAGGGAGAACTTGGTGGGCGCAGAGATGCCCAACACCGATAAGAAGAAAAGGGGTGGGAGCTTTTCCATGCCCAGGGTACCCTGGGTGGCTGGTGGCCGTGTGCCCCTGGTACACCTGGGATATTAAACAGAACAACAAATACTTCTCAAATAGTTTTAAAAACATACATATAAAGTGATAATTTTGTTTCGTCTTCACGTGAGTTGCAAAGTGTATGGACATGTATGCGATGATCCATAACAGAAGAGAAAGGTAGGTGAAGGTTCTTTTTTTTTTTTTTTTTTTGCAAACACACACACACACACACACACACACACACACACACACATTCCAACAGAACTTCACCTCCCAAATGTTATAAGTAACAATAATAATAAATGTTATGACCCGGACCAATTGCGAAGTACAAATTCACCAATAAAGCACAATGCTGCCCAATTGCAAAAGAAATGAATGAACTTGAGAGGATTGAGAGGATAAGAAGAAGAAGAAGTAGTAGTAAGAAGGAAGAAGATGAAGTACACCAGCAAAGAACCAATGTCAAAGCACTTCTCCTTCGCTCAACTTCTCAACTCCATATGTCCCCCTCTCTTATATTCAAACAAGAATTATTGCAACAATGCTGACCAGCTGATCCA